TGGCATGGCCATGTTGGTGAATGCCCAAGGTACAGCAGAAAAGGTGGGCCCTGGAGCAGAGGTGGCACAGGAAACAGGCGATGGATGTAATTGTTGAATTCACTAAAGATGGCAGCACAGGTTGGAAAGCAAGGGAAAGTCATTGCCTTGGTGCTCAAGTCCCTGAGGATAATGGAGGAATGTACAAAAGACTGTGAAATGGCAGTTATGAGGATGGAGATGGTGTTAATGAGATACTGATTGAGGCTTCAGAAGAACTGGAGGAAGGAGACCTGGGGAGAGACAGGTATGAGTTGGACAAAGATGAGGTGGGAGAAATTGTCGCGGCCTTGAGACGACAGATAAGTAAAGTGGGAGGAAATCTGGATACTAATAGGTCACCACGGGGGTAGGGAGTAGGATTTCACTCCAGGGGGAGGATGCAGAACTTGCCTGCCCAAAATAGACAGCCTAATGTGGTGGGAAGCACGGCAAAAAGTTTTTCTTTATCCAGGGGACTGGCATTTTGGATTCTCTGGGGCTTCAGTTAAAAAATAAAGAAGAGGAGAACTACTATCCTGAGTATATAAACTTGCTTTTCATGGAATAAAAGGTGGTATGGCTAGTACCAAAAGCATAAGGAAATTTATCCCAAACATTTAAATTTGCTTCAAAGATAATGGGTACCCTTCTCTCCAGGTCCTTTTATTCCTGAGAAATTCAATTTTCTAAAGGATCGGACTAAAGAAAATCAAACGTATGCTGTTATCAAATTCATCTTCCATATAGTTCAATTATTGGACGTCCTATTTCATTTTTCTTCTGGGTTTTGATTATGAGATTTATTATAACAGCCATATAATACCCATATCCTATCAGGCGAATGGAAGGTAGTTTTGGCAATGAGGGAGGTGTGATATGATTCTTTAAGAGGTTCTTTTCATATTCTGTTTCAGCCGCAAAACCAGTAACTATTTTAGCCAAGCAGTCACAGAAAGATTTCCCCATGCCTTGAATTTAAATATTCTATTATATTCTCTTGAGCCTTCAGAGACTTGTGCTCTTTTCAACCATAAAAAGTTTATGCTACTCTTGCCTATTTTCTTTTACATTCTAGGTTCCAAGCAAAGCGAACAATAATTAGTAAAACTTAAGAATGCTGGCATGGAAAGCTGTCCCTTATCACTCTGTCACTCCGTCAAAGTGCTACGCAGAATCATAATAGATTCGCTTCAAAGTCCAGTGAAATGGGCATGGAAGAGGCCAAGGAGACGCGGATAACAGTGAAGTCTATTGCTATGAACACTTCTAAAGCTGTCTGTCATATAATCCCAAGAATTCAAATGAAATTTGTCCTCAGTGCTACAACTGAGATTCTCTGACAGAATCACATCTTATTTAGAGCTTCCGGCCTGGAGAAAGACGCATATTTCTCTCAAAGTCAAGGTCATTAACAAAGGTCTGTGCAGTCTAATACAGCAGCCACTAACCATATGTGGTACTGAACATGTGAAATATGACTAGTCTGAGATGTGCTATAAGTATAAAACATACACTGGATTTCAAAGAGGAACTATAAAAAAAGAAGGCATACTATCTCATTAATATTTTTACATGTCGGATTTTAAAATTAATTTTTAATATTAATTACATGTCAGGATACTATTTGGGAGATACTGAGGTTAAATAAAATATATTATTAAAATTAACTATACCTTTTTTAATGTTTTGAATATGGCTACTTGAAACTTTTAAATTAGAGATCCTGGCTCATTATATTTCTGCTGGGCAGAGCTGCTCTAGGCTGTAGCCCGTTTTGAAGTGAGCCACAAGGAGGCAGTCAAGTGTGGTGATTAAGGGCAAGGGTACTTGGTCAGACAGATCTGGGTTCAATTCCCACATCTTCTATTTCCTCACTAAGGGACCTGAGCATGCTATTTCTCCAAATCTTAGCATTTTCATTCATAAAATAAGAATAATTACAGTGTTCCCCATCAGGGATGGTCAGACCTGAACTTCTCGTTTCTAAAGAGATAACTTAGGTTCTTATAATGAGCATTAAGTTTTAAATTACAAAAAAGGGCACAATTTCTAAAAGTTAGTTGTCTAATGAGAAATAAATAGGGTATAATCAATAGGGCATATCTTAAATGAAAAGTAGAATGGACCAAATCAAACCAAATTTAAAATATTCTTATCCTTTTTTGCCATTGCTACTTAATAGCAGAAATATATTAAGGAAAGCAGAAGTAAAACTCAGAGTCATCTAAATGTCGATTAGCTTGGCTGTTTTCCGGGTCACCCCTCTGCCACTGAGGGAATAATGTAAACAGACTTTATTGTTTCCTGAAGAAAAACAGGAAGGCACTTTTTCCCAGAAGGCAACTGCGTGTCATTAAATAGGCAAATATTAAGTAATTTTTGGATAGGAGAGTTATTTGGGCAACATGAGTAATGGAAAGTGAACAGGACAGGAGTCCAAGGGCAGTGATTCAATCCTGGGCCTGCCACAGCCTAGGGCAAGGTCACACGAGATCTCCGAATCTTGGTTTCCTCGTCTGTAAAATGAGGATGAGGATGATAATACTTCTTGCAACACACTGTTTTAAAGATTAAATTAATTAACAGATATTAAAAAACACTTATCTGTAAACTGGAAAGTATTATGTAAATGTTAGCTATTATCATGATTTTATTCTACTGGATTCTAAGAATAATCTACTTAGACATAGCCACTTTGCTCTCCGGTGTCATGTGAAAGAGAAGAAGTAAACAAGGGTGACTTTGTCTAAGGCATTTCACCTCTCAGGACCTTGGTTTCCTCTTCTCCCTCCTCGAGTTTAAAGAGTCATTGGGAGGGCCTCATAAAAAAAAAAAAAAAGAAGAAAAGAAAAGCACTCAGAAAACTACAGTCTTATACAAATGGGAAGCATTATTGTTGGTTTGGATAATCATTAAGAACTGATTTTACTGAAAAAGAGAAAAAATCCTATGTTCGGCATCCAGGAGTCCCCCTTACTGGGAAAAGTAGCCATTGCAGTGGTCCAAACAATATTTCCTTGTTCTTGTAACTCACAGATTCAAGATAAGAGTCAGTGACAATAATACGTGAATTGAAAAAGGGAGGTTAGAGTGTGCACCTCTAGCTCAGGTCTTGGCAACATGAGATGTAACAGAATCTGTGCTGTCATTTTCAAGCAGAGCAGTATGCAGTACAATATGATAATCAGAACTGCAGGATATCACTCCTAACAAGAACCATCATTTTGTATACAGGCCACTAAAGCTGGCTTCATTGGGGAAAATACTCATCTACATGATCTGAAACCAGTGCTATAGAATCCAGGGACCCCAAAAGACATTGACAGGATTTCATCCAGCCATCAAGTTATCTGGGCTCCAAGTGAGGACATACACAGATGCAACAATGACTTTAAAAAAATGAGTCCTTAGAACTTCACATAAAGAAATAAGAGCTCACAAAAATAGCAGAAGTAAAATAAAAGGACCCTGTCAACATATAACTATTTACATACAATAGTTAGAACTCATTTTCCCCAAATCTTTTGATTTGTTATTATTTTTAAAGGGAGCTCACTAGTACTAAAATGGCTTTTCTGCCACCGTGTGTACTACTTCATTCTATTGTTTTTCATCACTCTCAATTTTTATCAAATTTAACAATAAATCGCCTAATTTGAAAAATTACATTTAGTTTTTGCTGATTTATACTTTTATTTCTTTCATTTTAATTGTGCTTTCCTTGCATTGATTTATTTGTGTGTAGTATTCCTTTGATTTCGTGTTCCAGTGTATGGATAAAGTCATTCCTAAATATAAAACTTCAGACTCAGGACGGTGCCTGTCACCTCACGCAATGTTAGATTGTTCACGTGTTCAAATGGGATTAGATAAAAACATGCATTAGGAAAAATAACTAATATTTATACCTATATGAGAAATTTAAGGAGTAAACAGGAAAGTGAAGAAGATGCATCATACTGAATTACTGATGCAATTAAGACAATCCTGTTAGGACGAGGATAAAAGAACAAAGCAAACCATTAGCCTAGAAGATACCAAATATGCTCTGTAGAAATTTAGAGACCTGGAAGCAATTCAGTAAGTGTGCAGACTGTCAGCATCCTAACGAGCACATATAAATATATCACTACAATCTGATTCCAACCATTATCACCTTTGTATTTCCATTTCTGATGTTTTCAACCTATTGCTTTAAGTTTAGAAGTTAAATTCCATAATCAGTACCATTTTCACTATTAGTGCCACTACTACCACTGCCAGTACCATCACCAACATGCCTAGGCTTTATTTATATTAATAAAGATACAAGATGCAAAAGTACCCCTTTGTTTTAGTCTTCAGTAACACTAGTCGCACTATCAACCTTTTATAGGGCAATGAGTGAAACGCTAACACCAGCGATTGTGCCTGGGAGGTTACCATTACTAATTCCAGCCGTGCCTCCCTTTCTGTCTTACCTCTAGTACAAACTCGGCATGAGTCGTGGTTGGTTATACCTTTAGAGCACACTGCTTTTCCTAGACCAGTGCTTTTTCCAAAGTACATTCATGGAATACTTGGGAAATGCTCTACCAAAACAAGATTGACTTGGGAAATGCTGTATTCTATATTCCCTTCTTGAGGATTCACAGGGCATTTACCATATTAAAGATCCTTGCAATAGAACTATCTTTGCTTAACTTAGCATTTCCTAAGTTTACTTGATCATGTAACCCTTCCCTATTCCCACTTGTCTACAGACCACCTATGAACATCTCCCAGAACTAATACTTCGAGAAAAACACTCTGGGAAATACTTTTTTTGACTGATAAGAGATAGAATTAATTCAGATGAATATTACAGCCTCCCAAAGTTGGAAAACCCTAATTATGCCACCATTGGAAGAGGAGACAACAGCACAACAAAATGAGTGTTGAGCAGAAAAGGAGTTCTTGAAATTACCAGGCCGCTGATCAAAGGTACACAGCCTACTTACTTAAGAAGATTCCCGAGATTGAAGAGAGCCCGGTTATGCTGTGGATTTAGCTGCAGAGCCCTCTGATAGTACATCTTTGCCTCTGCGGTGTCTCTCGTCAGTGTTCCAAGGTTGTTCAGGGCACTTGCATGGCGCGGATACAACCTTAAAAATTAGAAATATTAACCCTTTACTGTTCAAAAACTTCTAAGTTGGGACAGTTCGCTTATTCTACCCCTCCGTGTCCCCAAGCCCCTGGCCCAGGTATGCCACAACCAAATGAAACAGTGAATTCTTCCTTTATTTTAATGGTATGTCTACATCACATCTCGCCCCCTCCAATTTTATGGAGCTATAATTGACATATAGCACTGTATATGTTTAAGGTGTACAGCATAAGGATCTGACTTACATACATTGTGAAATGATTACCATAAGAAGTTTAGTTAACATCCATCACCTCACAGAGATACAAAAAGAAAATGGAAAAAAATACTTTTTTCCTTGTGATGAGAACTCTTGGGATCTACTCTCTTAACAACTCTCCTATATACACACAGCAGTGTTAGCATTACATCATGTTGTACATTACATCTCTAGTACTTATTCACCTTATAACTGGAAGTTTGTACCTTTTGATTACCTTCATCCAATTCCCCAACTCTGGTAACCACAAATCTGATCTCTTTGTCTATGAGTTTGGTTTTTCTTTAGATTCCACATATAGGTGAGATCATACAGTATGTCTTTCTCTGTCTGATTTATTTCATTTGGCATAATGCCTCAAGGTCCATCTATGTTTTCACAAATGGCAGGATTTCCCTTTTTTATGGCTGCATTACCTATCTATCTACCTACCTACCTATCTATCTACCTATGTATACCACAACTTCTTTATCCACTCGTCCATCGAAGGACATTTAGGTTGTTTCCATGTCTTGGCTATTGTAGATAATGCTGCCAATATGGAGGTACAGATATCTCTTTGACACAGTGTTTTTGTTTCCTTCAGATGTATTTCAAGAAGTGGAATTGCTGGCTCATATGGTAGTTCTACTTTTAATTTTTTGGGGAAGCTCTGTAGTTTTTTCCATAGTGGCTGCACCAATTTACATTCCCACCAACAGTGCACAAAGCTTCCCTTTTCTCCACATCCTTGCCAACACTTACTTCTTTTTTTTTTATTTTTAGGAAGATTAGCCCTGAGCTAACATCCGCTGCCAATCTTCCTCTTTTTGTTGAGAAAGATTGGCCCTGAGCTAACATCTGTGCCCATCTTCTTCTATTTTTTAATATGTGGGACTCTGCCACAGCATGGCTTGATAAGCGGTGTGTAGATCTATGCCCAGGATCCAAAGCAGCAAACCCCAGGCCACTGAAGCAGAGCATGTGAACTTACCTGCTATGCCACCAGGCCAGCCCCTATTTCTTATCTTTTGATAATAGCCATTCTAACAGGGGTGAGGTGATATCTCATTGTGGTTTTGATTTGCATTTCCTTGATGATTAGTGATGCTGAACACCTTTTCATATGTCTGTTGGCCATCTGTATGTCTTCTTTGGAAAAATGTCTATTCAGATCTTCTGCCCATTTTTTAATTGAATTGTGTGCTTTTTGCTATTAAGTTGTAAGAGTTCTTTATATATTTTGGGTATTAACCCCTTATCACACATATGATTTGCAAATATTTTCTCCCATTCAGTAGGCTGCCTTTGCACTTTGCTGATGGTTTCCTTTGTTGTACAGAAGCTTTTTAGTTTGATGTAGTCCCACTTGTTTATTTTTACGTTTGTTGCCTTTGCTTTTGGTGTCAAAACCAAAAGAATCATGGCCAAGACTGATGCCAAGGAGCTTATAGCCTACATCTTCTTCTAGGAGTTTTATGGTTTTGCATTTAACTCTTGAATCTATTTTGAGTTAATTTTTGTGTGTGATGTAAGATAGTGGTCCAGTTTCATTCCTTTGCATGTGGTTGTCCAGTTTTCCCAACACCATTTATTGAAGAGACTATCCTTTCCCCACTGTATATTCTTGGCTCCTTTGTCATAAATTAGTTAACCGTATATGTATGGGTTTATTCTAGGCTCTCTATTCTATTCCATTTCTCTATGTGTCTGTTTTTATAACAATACTGTACTGTTTTGATTACTATAGCTTTGTAATATCATTTGAAATCAGGGAATGTGATGCCTCTAGCTTTGCTCTTCTTATGTCAAATCTTAATGGTCAATTATTTTTGCAGCTGCAGGCACATAAATAAGGCAAGGAAGCACATATCTGACACTTAGTGCTATAAGTAAATAACCCCCTAATAGTGCAAAAATAAATAGTATGTGAACACACCAGGGTTAAATAAATTTTAGTCCTTTGGAGCCTACCATTACTTTCCTTTGACAGCAAATCCTCATTGTTTCACATGCTGAGTTTCTGGCCTGGTGAGACTGCTGACCAGCTGCCTGGACAATGCGGTGCCCACTATTTACACAAGATTCTGGGCATTCCTTGGATGAGGAATCTTCATAAAGATACTTGGACTGGAGCATCAGTTAGATCATTATGATTGAGAAATGACGATACATAGTATCTCCCTATAAAAATAAACTTTGTCCCCAAAATGGCTCTCCATCTTGACTCGCTTTCTCCATTTTATCTTATTTCCCCCTGCTACTGGCACCACCAGGCCAAATATAGTTGTCAGAATGAAGATCCTGACAAACACTTAAAAATCAAAAATTAAATAATGCACAATGAAGTGAAAATAGCATTCCTAATGTTCAAAAGCAAATGTAAAGGATTGGGTATATATCAGTAAACCAAATTTATGCTGATTAAGGAAGACAAGGAATCAATTTACTTCCTTAACTCAAAACTACAGAGAAGGCAAATCAGCACAACTACATAGGTTAGCAGTTGCTGCTACATTTACAGCGGTCTAAGAGTTTTGCTCCATCTCTGTCACCCAGAGTACGTGGAATAAGCCTGTGGAGCTGGCTTTTAATGTAGAAAAGCCAAGATAATGCCTAAGTAATAAAAATAGGATCTGTGCTTGTCAAGTCTCTTGACAGTCAAATGCTGTGCTTGCCCCCTCCCACCGTTCTGTACCTTCTAAGAAGATCAATCTAATATTGAGACAAAAGGGGTTGCTACTAAAAGGCAAAAAAAGACCAGTTGAATAGCTTTTTTTCCCTTAATCGTTGCTTAACCCAGCATTTCCCAAGTTTATTTGACCACGTAATCCTCCTTGCTCAAGTCCCTTACAGAACAGCTATGAACATCTCTCAGAATTAGTATTTCCAGGAAGACATTCTGGGTAATGCTCCTCTTGACTGACACGGAATAGAATCAATTCAGATGAATGTTACATCCTCCCGAAACTTAAAAGCCTAATTATTCACAATAGCTTCGGAGGCTGTAGGGAGAGAGGTACTATGAGAGGAAGTTGGGAAAAAGAAAACACACCAGGCCAGGACATGCAGTGCTGTTGGCTTCTCTCTGGTCATCTTTAATTAGCAAAGACAACTTGAGGGTCCCTGGTACGAACCCAATCTCACAGTTCCTGAGGGACAGCAAGTCCTTGGTGCTCTCTCTGAGATGCCACCATGGGACATCAGAACTACGATGAGAGATTAAAAAATGCTCTTGTACCTGCCCATTCATTCCACGCCCAGAAAAGTCTCCTGGGAAGCTTGCGTGTAAGAGTTACTTTCGAAGTGGTTACTCTCTCACAGTCTTAGTCAACGTTTGTATTGTTTACGGGGGCTCTCTTGCTATTTATTATTATTATTTCGGTGAGTTAAATGTTTTAAATTTATTATAGAGAAAATGTGTTATATTATCAAATTGTTCTGAGGTATATCACAGCCAGGACTCAAATGCTTCTAAAGAAACTTTTATTTTTTGATGTTGAGCAAAGCTCTGACTTCCAAAAACTTGGAAGTGTCCGGTGAACATGATGAGAGCAACTTTCACTGTTTCTCTGATGACAAACAGTAACAAAAAGCATCCCGGGGACATCTGCCCTCTTGGAAGAGGTAATCTCTTAAAATTTGATCTTTTTTCTTATTTCTTTAAGGTTTGAAGCTCTCAAAAGCACTAACTATGGAAAAGGACTGTCTAAATCCACCAAGAGCTTCTGCAATGGGCCTACCTGTTTGTTAAAATTCGTGACCACATTGCCAAGTAGGGGTCCCTGTCCAGCTGGTTCTCAGCCCCCTTTCTGGACTTTATATTCATTCAGGATCCCACTGCCATTTACATGAATGGCATGTACTTTCAAAGTTCACTGACTACCATGTTTTCCTCTCTTTTTTTTTTAAATCAGAAATAGAACGTAATCCACCCTGAACTCTCAAAAACAGAAACAGTGAGAAGGGAAGTAAAGAGAAACAAATATAAGCACTATGAGGGTAAGGCCTTGAGTGAGCCTTGTGCTGCTAGGCTGCAAACCATGAAGCTGAAGAGAGGGCTTCCTAGCTCGCTCCGGCCAGGAAGGGCTTTGTGTCAATTCACAGCGTCCCAACCCGTGGAAGAAGGAGGCTGGCCATTAGATAGACTTACTGAATCCATTACCATGCACCGCCCTCCACCTGGAAAATGTGTAGATTCTGTTTATTCCTGGTCCAGCAAGGATCTGCTAGCAATATCTTCTCTCACGGGTTATCTGATTAAGTTCCCCTAATCATAAGCAAGCATTGCATTATTTATGAAACAAAGCTGAATTTCATTAAAAGGATTCTTCAACAACCAGGTCAGGACAAAATATCACTTTTTATTTTGACTTTAATATAGATGTAGACATCTTCTTAAAACATATACTCTTCTCTTGTTTACTGAGGACCTATGCAAGGACAAAACTTATTTTGTGTGTTTACTTTTTAAATAAACTTGTGCTTGAATGAGCTCGGGTCTAATTCAATCCTGAAGCCTCCAGGAGGAGAATTTTCTATTGGAAAGATGAATAATTTAAGAGATGTCTGTGTTACTACATCGATGGTCAGAATAAATTAAGCCCGTCTTGATTTTGACTTCTACGGGTATGTTTTACAAAAGTTCTCTTAGCGATTACTCCCTTCCCCATGTAAAAAAAACCTCAACAAAAGCTTCCCCGAACTGGAGCAAAGTGGTGATCTTTAGGCCTATTTTTTAAAGACCAGTGTGAACAGTT